TTTGAATGAATGAAAATGCATATTTTTCAATTAAAGAAAACTTAAGAGAGTGTGGGCCACTTCTGGTGCTTGGATTTTTACTTCAGTAATGAGGTCCAAGGCAGTAAGTTTTTTTTTTTTTTTTTTTTTTAATGCATTTATTCAGCAAGGATGCATTGCATTGATTAAAAGTGACAGCAAAGAATGTTAATAAATGTCTCAAATGAATGCAGTTTTTTTTAAACATTCTATTGCTGACAAAGAATCCTGAAAAAAAAAAATCAGTTTTCACAAAAATAGTAAGCAGCACAACTTTTTTCAACATCGATAATAATAAGAAAGGTGTCTTAGATACCAATTCAGCATATTGAATGATTTATGAAATATCATGTGACACTGAATACTGGAGTAATGGCTTTGCCATCACAGGAATAAATTACATTTTAAAATATATTAAAACAGAAAAAAACTATTTTAAAATGTAATATTTAACAATATTACTGTTTTTACTGTATTTTTGAACAAATAAATGTTGCCTTGACTTCATTCAAAGAGACTTCTTTGAAAAACATTAATTTGAACAGTAATTTGACTACCATAGAAAATAATAAAAAAATATAAACATATAAAAGAGTAAGAGTTAGAGTAAGGCAGTTACAAGTATACATACATGAGAGTACACGAAATATGTTGTGTTGTATAAGTACACAAAACCAGCATTCCAGGGGGTTTAAAGGATTAAATGTAAAGCTCATTCTTTTTTAAAGCACTTAAATTAAGTCTTTAGTTTAAAAAAAATATTATTTGAGTTGTAAAGTTGTCTAAATTTATATTTATATCATCTTTCAAATTTGAAAGTGGGACTATTGTTTTAATAATTTTTTTGTGGTAATCGACATTGTTGCACATTGGGGCAGTGGGGCATTGGGGCAGTTGTGGCTTAATGGTTAGAGTCGGACTTGTAACCCAAAGGTCGCGGGTTCGAGTCTCAGTACCGGTAGGGATTGTAGATGGGGGAGTGAATGTACAGCACTCTGCTCCCTGGGTGCCGCAGCAAAAATGGCTGCCCACTGTTCTGGGTGTTCACGCTGTGTGTGTGTGTGTGTGTGTGCATTCACTACTCACTGCTGTGTGTGTGTGCACTTGGATGTGTTAAATGCAGAGCACAA